CCTGCATCTTTCTACGCACGGGGACTCTCTGGCCACAGGAGTGCTCTCAGCCCACAAGCAGGGCAGGCTGGCAGTGCAGGAGTTAACCTCCCCAGGAGCAATCCTCAATTAACGAGGGACAAGTGTAGGTAGATAAACACGCCAGCTTCCTTGCCACTCTGTGGGACAACTCTACAGCGTGTTCTGCACAGGATGGGGACCCAGTTGCCCGTAACAGTCACCTGTGCAAAAACACGCCCTGAATCGACTGCCTTCCATTCCCCACTCCCCTGTTTGCGCATCCTGGGGTCAGGTCCCAGATGAACCACGCACACCCGCATCATGTCTCGGGACCTGCGCTGAGGGAAGTCCAACTTAGACAAGGGCATCCGTTTCAGAATTATGGGTAAGGGCTCTTGAAATCACGCTCTCTGGGCTGGTGGAAACGGGAGCCCTCTGCCCCCACTAAAACCACAGCTCCACTCTTAACTAGGCTTCAGACCGGGGCTCTGGCAAAGATTTCATGTGTGAGAGGAATCCTGTTCCTTAAAAAAAAGAAAGATGCAATTTCTGAGCAAAATTAGTAACAGGTGTGTTTGTTTGTTTGTTTGTTTGTTTGTTTCAAGGCTTTACTTTGAATCACCCTTCAGCTTTCCCTGGTCCATCTGTTGGTCACAGCACAAGCTGGCCCACCTCTGAGATCATACTCACAAGGGCACACAAAGACCCCTACAAACCCGCGCCACCGCTGCCTCCGTATAGGATGCTGTGGGGAGACTCCGGGAGCCCAGGCTCCCACATCCAAAGCTTGCTGCTCCAGCCACATGGTGCAAACTATTTGGGGGGCACAGTTAGGAAGGTGGCATCTAAAACCAGTGCTCTCTGTCTCCACTTGCCCTTTCTACTACAAGGCACGTACCTGGGGCAGGAGGGCCTTATCTTCTCCCCTGCATTCTAGTTTGGAAAGTGTCCTTTTTCACCCATATGGATATGCGTCTATTGAGGGGCTCCACAGTGAATACCTATGTTGGATGGTGGGATGGGCGGTCTGTCCTGTCCTTATCTCGGGGCTCGTTCAGATGGAAAGAGGCTCGTGCCCAGCTGCTCTGTTTACTCTGCATTCTCTACCCATTGTACACTGAATCGATTGGGCAGATGGGGAGGGGGTGTTGTTTTTCTTCTTTTTCCCCAATCTCCTTATTAGTTCAGCCTCAGAAAGTCCCTTATCACCTCCGGATGTCAGGCCACACTCTGTCATCAGGCCTGGCCATGTCAGGCTCTCCATTAATTGATTTTGCCCTCCCCCTTGGGAAGCATAAATTGGCTCTGCCCATTAGCAGCAATAATTCCCTGAAAGGGATTGTAAATCATGCCTTGTGTCCACCCAGAGCCCACAGCAGAGTGGTGCTCACGTAGGGAGATGTTGGACAGGGAGGTCCCTGCAGCCCTGCTGTTTTTCTCCTAATCTTGGCCAAGTGCTGACCTCACAGGACCACAGTGGACTAGGAAGAGTAGCTGAATCAGGTCCCAGCACACGGAGGGCGCTCAGTCAGTGTGTGTAGAGCGAGTTAAGGCAGGAAGCGAGGGAGGCAGGATGGGAACGTCCTCTCTGGTGCAGAGAGCTCTGTGGGCTTCTTGAGCTGAGATCTCCCCCAAAGTCCACCATGATGTTGCCCTTTCTGTGGCTATTGTGGCCCTAGGGTTTTCAGAAGTCCCCCATTAAACTGAACATGCTTCTGAGAAAGACTCTATCCTAAACCCCAGCCACATGAGGTCTTGTTGGACTTGGGTGGTTTTGAAAAACTGATGTAAGAGGGAGATGTGAGGGTGCAACCAGAAGAGAGTAGAGAGGCAGCAGTGCAGAGAAAGAGCCAGGAAAGGCAGGAGGAAGCTGCGCCGGCTGACTTTGCCAGAACTTGGTAGAGTCTCAACAGATAGTTCCAGCACACAGTAGGTTCCCAACAGATCATTCGTAACTGAATGGAGTGTCCGCCCACAGTGAGTCTGGTACCACTTCCTGCCCAGGACCTGAGGGAGGGAAGGCACCTTGATGGCTGATTCATCCCTCCCTCTACCCCAGCCCACCTCAGACATCCCTGTGGCCCACTAAGTTCACCCCCTTCTCCCATGCAGATAGTCCATTCTCTTTTCCTTCATTTCCGTCCCCCTTAGAACAACCGTCATTACCTGTGGACTGCATCCAGACTGCTTGAAGATACTCAGTGCTACAGAGCTGCTCAGTCCTGCCTAAGCCCTGCAGACATCCATGGATGAGCTTTCTAAATGATACACGAGAGAGCTCTCCACGTATTGAGTTTCTCCAGGGCAATCAAATAGGGTTGGACTCTCACACTGCCTTTCAGATATAATTCTAACCCTTGCTTAAGCCAGGAGCTAGTGCATCTGTGGTAGAAATGAGTGCCAGCACACTGTTGCCCCATCTGAGTCCAGATGCTTCCTTCTCCCTCCAAGACAAGCCCACATCCCAACAAGGTGCCGTCTGGGAAAGCTCCGGAACTATGTGAGATGGGGCTTGCTCAGAACCACTTCAGAGATCCCCAGATGGCCTCAGAGGATTCCAGAAGCAGCAGAATTCCAGAGAAGGTGGGCTCCATCACACCACCCCCAGACAGGGCCATGTCTAAGCCACAGGGTAGACGAAAGCCTGCAGGCTTGTCACTGCGTCGGGACGTTCTTGGTGGTGCGCAACTGTAGTCCCAGCTACTCAGGAGGCTGAGGCAGGAGAATTGCTTGAACCCGGGAAGTGGAGGTTGCAGTAAGCTGAGATCGCACCACTGCACTCCAGGCTAGGCTACAGAGTGAGACTCTGTCTCAAAACAAACAAACAAACAAACAACCAACAACAAAAAAAATAACAATTGGGAAGTAACAGAATACCTAATGGTGGCTGAAACAAATAAGGTTTATGTTTTTAATATAAAAAGAAATCTAGAGAGGTGTGTGCAGGAATTGGTCCAGTGTCTTTGCAGTGCCCATGACCTTTCCCTCAGGGACACAAGATGGCTCAGCAGGTCCAGACAGAAAGAGGGAGAAATGTGGGGCCAGCTGCAGCTGAACCCTTTGTCAAGAGACAACAATTTTGCCCAAACCTCCACAGCCACCTCTGCCCAATCATGGCTGGACCTGGGTACGTGGCCAGCCCCAGCTGCAAGGGAGCTTGGGAAAGTGGGTGCAGGGGACGCATCGACCCTCAGGCCTCCCCCCCAGGTTTTAATGTGTTTTTCTTCCAGTGGCCTAGCCTGTAGCTGGGGCTCTCCACAAGCTCCTGGAGCCATTTTGCCTGCACGTGCGCAAAGCCAGAAATGCATGAGTGACGGACTAATGTGGTATTCCCAGCTCCCCTGCTGGGACTCACTGGGATGCACTTCACCTGCCAGGGCTCCCAGGAACCAGGCTGAGGCTGGGACTGTGGTGTCCTGTTTGGCTTTCTCCTCAGTCTGGCCCTCTTGCCCACTGTCTTATGGGTCTTCAGTGACTTCACTGCTCTCAGGGACTGAGACAGAGGGGAGCAAGATTAGCTCGATGACTTAGACCAATTATGCTCCATTGCCTGGGGTTGACACTTACAAAGCCAGGGTTCTGCTACCTGGGAAGGAGGAAAAGGATACTCAGCACGCAACTCACAGTGTCTGCAGCCACAGCTCATTAAAGGAAACAGCAGAAAACACAGCAGAGAAATCGGAATCCTCGCCCTGGGCTAGTGGGAATATAAAACAGTTTAGCCACTTTGGAAAATAGCCTGGCAGTTCCTCAAAAAGTTCAACACAGAGTGGCCAGATAATCCAGAAATTCTACTCCTAGGTATGTACCTGTGAGTAATGCAAACATAGGTCCACAGAAAAGCTTGTACACAGAGGTTCATAGCTGCTTTATTCTTAAAAGAAGGAAACAGAGACAACCCAAATGTCCATCAACTAGAAATCAAATGGATAAACAGATGTGTTATAGCCACACAACGAAATATTACTCAGCCAGAAAGAAGGAATAAGTACTGTTACATGTAGCAACACGGCTGAACCTTGAAGACTCTGTGAATATACTAAAAACCATTGAATTGCACACTTGAAATGTGTGGATGATACAGCATGTGAACTATATCTCAATAAAGCTGTTATACATGTACATGAACAAGCATGTGCACACACCACACACACACACACACATACACAGGCAAAGAGAAAGAAAAGCACCCTCAATTCCATCCACTCAGAGAGAGCCACTGGTACCATCCCAGGATCAGGATATACTTCTAGTTTCTTTTTAATTCACACATACATTTCACCGACATATCCTCTGAAGGTAACTCACTAGAGGGCTTCATGCAAGACAAATTAGCAAAAGTTATAAAACCAATATATCCAATTTATCAGCAGAATCAACCCTGACACTCTTACCGTCGGGCTGAGCCAGACAATCACCTGTCTATTTACTTTGCCCTGATTTGTTGCGCAGTTTACTCATCCTGAGGGTCCCCCATAGCCAGGTCAATTCTCCTGCCCCATCCTGTAGCCAAGGCAACTGAGTAGAAGGTTTATTCGCACCCATTCTGATCTATTCCCAGCTCCTCAGCTGGGGGCTTACAGCCTTCAAGGGCGAAGACGCTGGGGGCTGCTGAGAGAGCCCACTGGGGCCTGGACAGAGTGAGCACATCTATCCGGTTTAGCCCAGAAACATCCATCCAACTTGGAGGCAGAAGGAGAGACATGAAGCACTCAGGAGAACCTGGTGGGTCTCTTTGAAGGGTCCAGGACACTGACTTGCTGCTGTCCATGGAAACAACGGCCGGGAGCGGGTGGCCGGCCTGTTTGCACTCACAGCATAGCACTTAGTGCAGCCAAGCTGAGCCGCACTGTTCAAACAGTCTCCCCAGCCTCCAGACACCTGCGCCGAGGAGGAGGGCAGGGCAGGCGGCAGCCTGGGCACAGGTCCCTAGGTGCTTACTCCTCACCTGTTTCCCACCTCTCCCCCATAGCCAGCCCCACGGCCCTGGCAGGGTCCTGGCCACAGCATGCCCAATGCTGGGCTCTGCAGCTGCTGGGGTGGCCGGGTGCTGCCTCTGCTGCTGGTCTATGTCTGTTACCTGCTGCTCGGTGCCACCATCTTCCAGCTGCTAGAGAGGCAGGCAGAGGCTCAGTCCAGGTACCACTTTCAGTTGGAGAAGCTGCGCTTCCTGGAGAACTACACCTGCCTGGACCAGTGGGCCCTGGAGCAGTTTGTGCAGGTGAAGGGGAGTGATGTGGGATGGGGATGGAGAGGCTTGGGAAGGTTGGTGGAATGGGGGTTCCTGTGGCAGATCCAGAGTCCTCACCCAGGGACTGATGCCCCATGTGGAAACAGAGTGTGGTGGCAGCAGAGAGCCTGGTGAGATCTATCCTGGATTCTGGCCCCAGCTCTACAAGTGGATTGATGTGTGACCTTGAACAGGTCACTTAACCTCTCTAGACCCAAATAGCCTCATCTATAAGGCAACAAGAATAACCGTATCTATACTGCAGACATTTGACAGCAGATTAAAAGCACTCTCTAAGCTGTCACTTGCTGGATGAATGGGAACTATATGTCAGTGTTATCAGCGCTGTCCAAATTTCCTCCTCCCACACTTTCATACTTCCCCTTCCCCAGCTCCAGGGCTGCGGCTCCTTCTGCCCTCTCCTCAGCTCATATCCCTGGGCAGAGGGCTGCAGGTGGGAGACGCAGATAAACGCCAGGAGCAGCCACCACCAAGCTGGCCTTTCCTGGCCTGTTTGCACCTGGAGTTGGGTTTGGTGGGCAATGGCCAAGGTGACTGAGCTTACCAGCACTGCACCCAGACAGGGCTCTCTCTTGGTAACAGAGTGGGTCACCCCCTGCCTGGGCCCTTTCTGCTTTCCTCTTTCCCAGAAACAAGGCAAAACCACGTGTTGTGGAGGGAGGTGAATGCATCTGAAACAGGCGCTGGAGCGAGTGACAACAGCCCCGGCAAAGGAACAGAGCAAGTGCCGAATCACCTTGATAACTGGCATTTACTGAGCACTTACAATGTGCCTAAAAAAGTGGGAAACACGGTCTTCACGACCAGCTTAATCCAATCATGATCCACTTACCAGCTGACACTGAGTGTGTTACAGGTGTTTTCTCATAATTACCTATTACAATCTCTATCTCCAGTTTGTAGATGGGAACTGAGGTAGAATATGTTGGCCAAGGCTGCACGGCTACTGGTAGAGACAGCACTCACTCTCAGGCCTCTGGCTCTGGAGACCTGGGTCTTCGCGGCACAAATTAGTGTAAGTGTTGGGGGCAGGATGTAGCCTGAAGCACCAGTTCTCAAAGTGTAGCCCCGGGACCAGAATCAGCATCACCTGGGAGCCTGTTAGAACTGGAGATGTCAGGTCCCACTCCGCACCTGCTGACTCAGGAACTCCAGGGATGGGTCCTGCAGGCTGTGTGTCAACAAGCCCTCCAGGTGATGTTGAGGCCCCTTAAGACTGAGAACAGCTGGCCTAGAAGATGATGCGTGGCCTGGGTGGTCACAGAGAACGTTCTGTAGCTGTGAGAGACCAGGAAATGAGGCCTCCAGCTTCAGGTTTTACTCTCTTCTCCCTGATGGATAAGGTTAGTCAAAGTTGAGGGGCCATCGTACCACATCAGGGTTCAGAACAGTTCAGGGGCCTCCCAAAACCCTGGGAGTAAGGCAGAGGCCCTGGAGAAGCTGAAACCTCCTCCTCCTGTAGCTCCGCATTGGAGGTGAGAGCCAAGCTGGAGGGCGTGGGAAGGGTGGGTAGCTACGACCTAACTCGCTCCATAAACCAAGAAGAAGGGAGGCTATTCTCTTAATTGCAGCCCTGAAGGGGTTGCCACTGATTAGTCCCGGGGCACTCCCCAGGGAAGACAGGACATCCCTTTCCCGGAGAGTCCTCAGCCTCGGAAGAGAACCTTCCTTGCCAGGGGCAGTTGAGCTGGGCGGCAGAAGAACGCTGGGGTGAGATTCTGGAAGAAGACACATTCCTGTTGAACTCTCACACACACAGGGCAAGTTAAGTAATTAGTATTAAAAGCAGTATTAAAAATTACCTCCGTGAGGAAACGCTGCTTGCCCAGGTTCACAGAACTGGGAAGTCAAGAACCCGCGGCCGCCTGCATCCGGCCCCCGGCACTCAGCACCCTCAGCAGGATGAGGGCCACAGGCTGGCAGCGGGGGACGGCCCAGGACTAGAGTGCTGCCTCCCAAGAGTGAGGGGCTCCAGAGAGCGAGCATGTTCGGGAATGTTGGGCCCTGGTCACTTTGTGAGTGTGGGAAAGAGAGGGAAGCCAAAGTCCACATCTTAAGAGGCCAGTTCCCGTCAAAGTGAGGAGAAGCAGACAGCCTGTGACCGCAGATGCCCTGACTGGCTTGGCCCACCAGGGCCACCCCAGCCCTGAGCTAAGCACACCCACCCAGCCAGCGGGAACCGGTTCCCATAGGAATTGGAAGCCAGAACTGTTGTGTCCCTGGCTTCCTCCTGCCTTTGGGGCTCTTCAACAAGTGGCAAGGCTGTGCTGCTGCTCTGGGACAATCCACAACTAAAGGGGAGAGGAGGAGGCAGCCCTGCCCATTCTCCAAGGGGCCTGGGCCCAGGGACTGGAGGCTGTCAGAGGTGGGGCAGTGGGGGGAGGTGTTGTAGGCTTAAGCCTGCAAAGGTTTGGGTCCTGTAAAAACACATGCAACACACACATACAGACAAACATACACGTGCAACATACAGTTGCCATGCACAACACATGCATACAACACATCACATATAAACCACCACCAAACACACACACACCCACACTCACACGCACCACCTTTGTCCTAGACTCTGTTGGAATTTCTCCCATAGGCAAGGGCTGGGGCTCACTAGAGAGCAGCAAAGAGCAAGGGTGCCCACTCACCTGGACAAGTAGGAAACACAGGGTTCTCTGTCCCACCACTGGCTTCATGGCAGGGAGCCCATGGCTTCCCTATGATCCCTATACCCTGTATTCCCCAGCAATCCCTTCCAGCCACACTCAACCTGAAATCCTCCCATTGTTCTAACAGCTGATGTGCGTGCCATCCTTTTGGCCACCAGCAGCATCTCCTATGGGACCCCTCCCTGAGCATCATCCACCTCACCCCTCAGGCCCATCTCCCGCCCCAGCCCATGCTTGCAGTCTACACCTTAGTCAGGCCTGGCCAGTGGAACAGACACTGGAATTGGAGTCCAGTCACCTTGCACAGGTCACTTAGCCACTCTGAGCCTTCATTTCCTTTTTCCATGAAATGGGAACAATATCATCTAAGAGTATCATTAGATTATATGACACAGAAGCATGCTGCCAAGAGCATGGCAACAACTGGTGCCCAGTAACCATCAGCTCCTTCTTCCTCCCCTGCCATGCCACCCCCCACAGGTCATCATGGAAGCCTGGGTGAAAGGTGTGAACCCCAAAGGCAACTCCACCAACCCCAGCAACTGGGACTTTGGCAGCAGTTTTTTCTTCGCAGGCACAGTCGTCACCACCATAGGTAAAGGGCTGGGGTAGAGAAGAGCTTCCCCAAGACTCCTGTCTTAGTTTGGGCTCCCCAAAAGCAGATGCTGAGGCGAGGATGTGGCGTGTCTAGAAGATGATTCAGGAAGCCCGGGGAGGGAGTGGGTAAGTGAAACAGTAGGGAGAAGAAGGCAATGAAATTTGCATTAATAAGCAGATTACTGGCTTGGGTAACTGGGCTCATTTCTGCTTGGGACCCTCTGAAAGGCTAGATGGAGCCCATCCTCAGAACGGTCCAACGAGGGACAAGAATGAAGAGCCATTTAGCTACCAACTCCTGCCCTCAAAGGTTGAGAGCTGGTCCCGAGTATATTACTTCCCCAGCATTTTGAAACTTCCCATAGACCAAGCACGCTCCTTCGGCCAGAAGAATCTCTCAGGTAGAGAGAGATGTGCAGAAACTGGGAGCAGGGGGTGATTTGTATACAGGAACTGTCCACCAAAGCTGCAGGTGGTATCTTGTGTGTTCTGAGGGAACAGGGCACTGACAGCAGCTGCTACACCCCCTTGGCCAGAAAACTCACTCCATCCCACCCCAAGGAAGAAATCGCCAGATCCCGGTCTACCCCATCCATTCAGTTAAGTCCAATTCCACATACTTTCCTAGAACTCAGGCGACATTCCAGGCAGAGTGATGGAGTTGGGGGTGGGAGATACAAACTTGGATCAGACCCAGGCTCAGCCCGCAAGGAACTTCCAGTCCAACAAAGAGGAACACCATAAATACACACACACAAAAAAACAATAATAGAAGACAAAGTCGATAATTACATAGCAATAACATAAAACACTATGGAGAACCACACCCAGTAGGGAGAAGGAGCGTGGTAGTCAGGAGGGCTTCATGGAGGCAGGGTCATTTGAGATGGGCCTTCAAAGATGAGCAGGAGTCCTATAAATAAAAATCATTCCAGCAGAGTTCAAAAGGGAACAGGGGAGCTTCCCCTTCTCGCCCCCAGAGGTGGTGGCAGACAAACCTCAGCTAGAGTCTGGGGAAGAGGAACAGAGGGCGTTCTGGAGTCTCCATATTTGCACACGTCCCCCTTCCCTTGCAGGATATGGGAACCTGGCACCCAGCACAGAGGCAGGTCAGGTCTTCTGTGTCTTCTATGCCCTGTTGGGCATCCCGCTTAATGTGATCTTCCTCAACCACCTGGGCACGGGGTTGCGTGCCCACCTGGCCACCATTGAGAGATGGGAGGACCGGCCCAGGCGCTCCCAGGTATGCCCCCTAACTCCCTTACAGGCCTGCTATGACAGATCTGTTGCAAGTGGAGTCCTCCAGAAGCCGATGCTGAGATGGAGTTTGGCGAGCATGGTGTTAGGGGTAGATGCCTATGAAAGAGGAAGGGTGAAGGCAGGGTTGGGCAGAGTGGGGAGCTGGATTTCTATGCATGCTCTACAAAGGCTTGGCCTCAAGGAGCTCTACAGCATGTGCGAGCTGTCAGAGTTGTCCCACAGTGGGTGGAACCAGCCAGGCTTTCATACCTGCCTCAGTCAGGCACTGGGTGTGGCCTTCCCAAGAAGGGTATGCCCCTGGCCAGGAGGTTTCCTGCAGCTGAACACCCTGAAGAGGTGGCAGCTGGCCTACCGTCCTCCTTTGAGTGGGGGATCTCTGCAGCACATCTTCAAGGTCATCACAGAACTCCAACATCCTTTTGTGCAGTAGGAAACAAGCTCTGCAGGCTGCCCAGCGTGCCCCCAGTGCCCACCCTCGGCCAGCCGCTTGCAAGGCCAGAGGCACGCAGACAGTTCAATGATACTTTTCTGCTCCAGATCTGAGTCCCCGGGGAGCCTGTTCAAGCGTGATCCCCAAGCCCAGATGGGTCTCCAAATCGCTCCTTGACCCACTAATGCAATCCCTCTGCCCAAATCTTTCCCTGGGTGGGACAAGGTCATCCACACGTAGCTACAACCTCCACTCAAGGGTCTGCAGGGCAGGGAAGGGGCCCAGCTATGGCCCAGTCCCATTCCCAAGTTTACCCCAGACTCCCCCCAACCTCATACAATCCTGGAGACTTTCAAGTGGACTCAGGGGCCAACTCCTTCCCTCACAGGTACTGCAAGTCCTGGGCCTGGCTCTGTTCCTGACCCTGGGGACGCTGGTCATTCTCATCTTCCCACCTATGGTCTTCAGCCATGTGGAGGGCTGGAGCTTCAGCGAGGGCTTCTACTTTGCTTTCATCACTCTCAGCACCATTGGCTTCGGGGACTATGTTGTTGGTGAGAACAAAACAGTCACATTATCTCAGGGTGAGGGGGCCCACTGGGATTTGGGGGACGGAGAGATGTCAGCTGAGGACAACTATTGAGGATAAGATAGCCCCTGGCCATTCAAGGGAGCCAAACCAATGATTTCTGGGGCTACCGTGAATTCTAAGCAATATTCTCAGAAGTTTCTGGTCTAGGACCCATCACCACCCCGCAGAGACCTACCTCCACTGCTGTTCCTTGCTATGAGGAAGAGGGAGAGAGCATCCTGGCTGGTGAGGGTCCCTATGGAAACTGGAGGTGGCTGTGCCCTGAGATCCCTGGCATTGATGCCATTCCCTTCCCTGGCAGGCACAGACCCCAGCAAGCATTATATCTCAGTGTACCGGAGCCTGGCAGCCATCTGGATCCTCCTTGGCCTGGCGTGGCTGGCGCTGATCCTCCCACTGGGCCCCCTGCTTCTGCACAGATGCTGCCAGCTCTGGCTGCTCAGTAGGGGCCTTGGCATGAAGGACGGGGTAGCCCCTGACCCCAGTGGGCTCCCCAGACCTCAGAAGATCCCCATCTCTGCATGAGGCCCCCGGTGTGGGGGGCCAGAAACCCCTTTCATCCTCCTCAGTCCCACCCTATCTGCTCTCTGGATTTCCAGCCCTGCCTTCTCCTCTCCCAACCCCCTCACTTCTCAGCCAGGGCTGGTCTCAGGAGCTCTCCCAAGAAAGAAAACAGACAGGTACAACAAAGAAACAAACAGGAGATATGAGATAGGATCAAAGACATGTGTGGCTCGAGAGGTGCACCCTTGTCCCAGAGCCCCTGCCACAGCCTTCCACCCAAAGGTAGCCTGGAAGAATGGCCAGATTTCCATTGTCCTCCCCATGCCCCCTTCCAAGAGACCTTACACAAACAAAGGATGACTTTACTTTTGCCTCATTTGATACCTGCACAGTGCATTTGCCAAGCCCCTACTATGTGCCAGGTGCTGAGGCAGGGTCTATGCCAGGGTCTGGGGATACAGCAGTGGACGTGCCTGCCCTTGATGTGCCTTTAGTTGCTAGACAAGCAAAGAGGCAGCCCCAACACAGTGCCCAAAACGCTATGATAGGAATAGCCCCGGGGTTGATGAGAGCCCATGGGATGGCTGCAGGGAGCATCAAAGAGAGGGGAGAGCTGGGCAGAGACTTTGGAACAATCTTAGTGAAAAGAGGATCTCTGCCCTCAGGAAGCTCTCAGCTGAGGGGCAGGCGAGCTGCCTCTCAAAGCTCGCCAGCTCCCCAGGGCTGTCTGTGAACAAGGCTTAGGACCTCTTGGGTGTCCCACCCACTTTCCTGGACATGGCCTCCCCTGACCCTCACAGGCCACCCCCTTAACTTCATCACTCCCCTGGGCTCCTGCCTTCTCAAGAGCCTTTCCAAACACCCCCTGGGAAGCCAGAGAGCCAGCAGATCCCAGGATCCTTCCAGAAAGTGAGGTCCATGGACGTCTGGCCTCTCTCAGGAATACATTATCCAGATCTGGCCTTTCCCCTGCCAGATTGCAACATCCCTGACCAGAAGGAGAGATTTAGACCACTCCATCCGGAGGCCTGGAAACTTTGGCCTTTGCCTCTCCCACCATCCAACAGCAAGCGGGCACCTACGTGGCTGGGTTCCTCTGCATAGGTCTGAGGCAAGGCTGTGGAGCCAAGGAGGCTCCAGGCAGGAGACCGAGGGGAGGCTCTACAGCAGCAAGAGGAGTCCAAGTCACACCCCAGGACTTCCCCATATCCAAGAGAGGACTGGGAAGCTGAGGACTCATGGACTCTTCACACAGCCTGGACACTTCCTCCACCCCGGGTAGAGGGATTTCGGGGACCTTCTCAGAAGCAAGGAGTGGACAAGCCTCTTGGTTAAGGCTCCTCTTACCTCCCAAGTTCATGGACAGGTGGCAATCAGCTGGGGTCCCTCTTTTGGGGTACAAAGGAAAGGACAGAGGTGTGGGAGACCCAAGGTGGTCTTGAGATTGACAGACAGCAAGTCCTTGGAGATAGCTCCCCAGTCCAAGAACTTAGGCGGGGTCCCCAAGACAATAAAGTTGGTCTCTCCTATCTCCTCCCTCTGAGTGAGGTTTCCAGGAGTCCCTCCTATTGTTCATTTCAGGAAATGTGAGAGGGCTCTGGGCCCCTTCCCTCAGCGCCTGCGGTCACCCAGCAGCTTTCTCCTTCTCCCTGGCCTAGGCCTATCGGGTGGGCACCCCGCATACATTTGAGGCGGGGCCAGATGCCCACGGTCTCAGAGCCTCTTTTTGTCCCTGGGATTGGATCCCAGGGCTGGGTGGGGCCAGGCTGTCCCATTCCCCAGCACTCCTCCTCCCTGGAGAAACCGGGCACTGGCAGGCGTTTGCAAGACGAGAGACGAGCTGGGTGTCTGGCCTTTCCCTCCCACCAGGTCCCAGTCCACCGCTCCCGGCGCCGGCTCCCCGCCTCTCTAGCTATGTACCGACCGCGAACCCGGGCGGGTCCCGAGGACAGGGGCTGGGGCTGCGCGGTGCCCAGCACCGTGCTCCTGCTCTTCGCCTACCTGGCTTACCTGGCGCTGGGCACCGGCGTGTTCTGGACGCTGGAGGGCCGCGCAGCGCAGGAGTCCAGCCGCAGCTTCCAGCGCGACAAGTGGGAGCTGTTGCAGAACTTCACGTGTCTGGACCGGCCGGCGCTGGACTCGCTGATCCGGGTCAGGGGCGAGCAGGGCCGACCTGGGCGCGGCGGGATGGCGTAGGGGGCCGCGGGGTGCACAGGCCGAGGGCGAGGGGACCTACTCAGGCCCTCGTCAGGTGTTTCCCGCTCAGGGAAACGCCGGGAACGTAGACGTGGGCACTACGGGGGTGGGCGTTCCTGCGCGGGGACCAGAGGGTTGGAGGACCTCGGAGGAAAAGACCCTGGTTCTAGCGAGAGAACTGAGAGAAGCCGGGCTGAGTCCTCCCTGGGAGCGAGAGGGCATGCTGGCCGGGTGAGGAGGCAGATGCCTGGGGACACATCCCAATTTGGGGGCGAGGACGAGGACGGCAGGGAGCGCGCGCGTAACCGGCCCCGCCCGGCCTGACCCGGGAAAGGGCGCGTTTGGGCCTGCTGGGGTGTCGGTTGCACCTGGACCCATGGCGAAGGACTAAAGGCCACACTTGGCCGCTTCCAGCGGGAGAACCCGGGCGCACGTTTGCAAACTCGGGGCTGGGACTGCAGGGGCGCCGGGTCTAAGGATGCGCAGGAGCGCGAGCGCGGCGGTAGGAGCCTAGGGGAAGGCGCGCTTGTCCCGGAGGGTGGGTGGAATGGGCCCCAGGCGTGCTGGCCTGGGCCACCCGCAACGCAGAGAGCGGGCTCGACGTGCGCAGACCCGGGTTCGAGAGGAGGGCGGACGCAGGGCCTCTCTCTGGCTGAACCCGCTTTACTCCGAGTCTTCGGACACAAGGACTGGGCGCGCCGCCGCCGCGCGGCTGCCCGGAAAGGCAGAAGGCGGGGTTCAGGGGAGGACTCCCAGGTAACTCTGAGCAGAGGCTCCTCGAGGGTGGGGCCTAGCGGGGCGGAGGAGGCCAGGGAGGGTTCTAGGGGTGGCGCATCTTCCCACTGAAGCGACGCCAGACTGGCAGCTGCTCGATTTGGCGGAGGCATTGATGTCCCGGGCCCTGGCTTGGTTCCCCACCCCTTTGTCCAAGAGCCCAGAGTCCAGACAGCTGCACGCCAGCCCCGCCTTGCAGTCCTGGTGGCTCATCCATCCAGAGTCTCCAGCCCAAAGCCAATCCCCGGAAGGTGGCGGGGAACCTTGCCAGGGTAGGAAGGGACCTAGCGCGGAGCGGAAGTGGTGTTCTGAACCCTTGGACTAGGCCGATTCGGTGAAGTCAGGAGCTAGCCAGGGCCAGGCCTATCTCTACTAAGGACCTAAAGTGGTTCCTCCAGCTCCCCACCTACGGACTTATGCAAATACAGCCCGACTGCTGGGTCCTGGTGCTGAGGCTGCCTGCCATTACCTTGCAAAGGTGGTGAACTTCAACTACAAGCAGCCTGGGCCCAGGGAGATGGCTATGATGGTGATAACAGTAAATGCCTCTGTGCAGCGCTTACCGTGTACCGAGCACTGTTTCCAGTGCTTTACCCGTATTTACTTGTTTCAGGCTCACCTCCCTCACAGGTGGGTACTGTTTTCATCATCCTGTTTCAGAGGTGAAGAAACTGAGGCTCAGAGAGGTTACAAACGAATGCATGGCTCCATAGCCAGGAGCTGGAGCTATTAACCAGCATGAGTACTGCTTCAGTGTGGATCTGTGGATGTGGGTGCTTCCCAAGATTCCCAGCCAGGCTGTCATCTCTTTGGGCTTTCCCTTCAACTCCCTCTACCCCCACCTCACCCCCTTCCTCAACCCTCCTGTGGCTTCAGCTGTCTCCAGTAATAAGGATGTGGTATCCAGCCCAGATCTTCTTTCTGAGCACCACATGCAATTTCTGAAATTCCTCAAGGCCAAGAGCAAGCAGTCCTCCTCCTCCCAGCCCTGCTCCTCCGCCTGCCCTAAATCTCGATTGTCTGCCCCATGTCCACACACCCTCACAGTCCTCTGCAACATCTCCTTTACTGCCTATACTAAATAGGGCCAGATGCCTAGGCTTCTGAATATCTCCTCTCTGTTCTTCCTGGACCACTCCGTGCCGGGAGACAGGCCAGGGCCCGTCTGTCACTCACCTCTGCAGGAGTCTCTCCCCTCTGGTCAACCCCTGCTATACTGCCAGCTGCCACAGAGCACACCAACCTGGTCCTACTTCCCCTTTGCTCAGTGACCTTGGATGATACCTGCCACTTCATACCTGGCATGGCAAAGCCAAGCACAGCTTGGCCTCAATCACTTCTTACCAGTCTCCTTAATCTAGGTCCCAGGCAGTCTCACCTCCCAGCTTCTGCACTGCTGTCCCATCTACCTAAACGTCCTTCCACCAGAAGCAATCCTACCTGACCCTCAAGGAAGGCCCAGATAAAACGTCACATCCTCCATGAGGCCTCTGCTCCTACCCAAATGAGAATGAACATCCTTCTTCCCCAGAGTCCTACAACATTATATGCCTAGTAATGATGATGATAGCAACTGCTAACACCATGTGCCAGGTACTAAGACTACACATAATACCTTATTTAACACTCACAACAACTCTATGAAGTAGGTACTATTTGTATTACCATTCTACAGGTAAGGAAGCTGAGGCACAGACAGAAGTTGAGCAACTTGCCCTGGATTGTGTAGCTGCACTTCCTCCTTAATGCCCAAAGTGACATTGACTGCATCATATTAGAGTTAATTAGGTTTATCTGTGTATCACTGAGGGCTGGGGTCATGTCCCCTAAAAGCACCACACGTCATGCCTGGCCTAGTGTTTGTTTCAGGAATGGGAGTGAGCAGGGGAGAAAATGAGTGGTTGGTTTACTAGGACTCCAACCTGACCTAGCCCCTGGATAAGGTGGGGAAGGAGCTATCCCCATGGTAGCTATTGGTAGCTGTACCTGGTGAGCCCTTGGTGAAAGGGGTAGAGCCTCCTTTCCCTGGTGGGCTGGGATCAAAGGGTAATTGTGAGGGCTGTGTGTAGGGGTGGGTGGGTGTGTGTGTGTGTTTTGAGGTGCAGGAAATCCGTCACCCCACAGACCCTGGTGGTCATTGCAGCCTCTTCCCCAGGACGTCGTCCAAGCGTACAAAAACGGGGCCAGCCTCCTCAGCAACACCACCGGCATGGGGCGCTGGGAGCTCCTGGGCTCCTTCTTCTTTTCTGTGTCCACCGTCACCACCATTGGTAAGGGCCAGATGGGGCCAGGGGGATGGGGGTGGGGAAGGAGGCAGCTCCCTGAGAGGCAGCAGGCTGGTTGCCTTTTGGAGGGGTTACCTAGAGCCTCATGACTCCAAGTGCAGTCCGGCTCTGCAGCGTGGACACCACCTGGGCGCAGTCTCAGGCCTCACTACAGACCTCCTGACTCAGCCTCTGTAGCTCACCCAGGTCCCTGGGGGATTCATGTGCACCGTTGGAGTTTGACAAGCACTGCCCTAGGAGATTTCTGCCCCACATGGCCTTTCAGGACGCAGAAATCTCCCGGTACAGCAAGAAACATGTCTCTGGGCCCAACAAGGGTGCCAGTCTCCTCAGCTGAGCCCACCCACCACTGAGCCTCGGGGGTGCTGGTCAGGAGAAATGGGGGGAAAGTTAGGAAAGAAGAAGGAGTAGAAATCCAAAGAAAGAGCTTTAGACCCCCCTGCTTCTCAGCCCTGGGGGAGGGGGCCATTCCTCCCACCTCCCCGTCTCCAGACCCCATTCCCACAGGCCTCTCTTCAGCTTGCAAACAGCCTCCTCCACTCCTCATCGCTATCCTCCCCACACACAGGGACACCTGGAGTAACCCTCCCCTGGGGAAGACCCGAGGTAGAGCTTGTCTCAGGAGGGTGCTGAGGGGCTGTTGTGCAGAGAAGAAGAGCAGGCTAGATCCCTGCAGCTCTGAAACCTAGGAGATCATGCAAATCAAGCCACCCAGATCCTTCTGCCCCAGCCCCTGCATGACACAGGACTTGCCACCAGGTGGCAGGCTGATATCACCGGTGACTTGGGCTAAGGCCTCCCAGCTCCCAGCCAGCCAGGATCCTCTCTCCAGGACACCAATATCCCAGCCTCCCCACAGGGTGGGGTAAGGCAAGAGCACCCAGAGGATTCTCCATCTAGTTTTAAATTGGCCAGAACTTCTTGAAAGCAGACCTCAGAGCTACATGGGAGCTTGGGCAGTCCTTGAGACAAGCATGCTTGGGAGGCACCCCAGACCCCAGGGGCCCTGAGCCCCTGAAGGCCTGGCAGGATGGACCGATTCATCTTTACATCCCCAAGGGTCTATTACAAGGCCCAGCATACAGCAGCCACTCAATAAATACTGCCACGTTAAGGAATTCCATTAAATATGCATTCACCAGGCATGTATTGCGTTCCAGGGTAGCAGGAGATCTTAAAACACAGTCACCGTAGGCCAGGCCTCCCAGATTTGGGGGTCCTTTAGTCTGCAAGCCCCATACCTCCCACACTCTTCCCCAGGCCTGTGACTTTGACCCACC